ACATAAACATGGCATGATGCACAACAAAGTATGATGCATGTCCGGTTTAAATATGCATGGCATGGCAAAATGCACAAGCAAAACTACAAGTTAATTGGAGCTCAATATGCAACGAGTTGCATATTGACGGAACACCACAACAATTATTTAGTTCACTCCCGGTTAAGTACTCAACAAAATTAAATGTTGGTTAACATGGCAATTTGGTGAAGCAAAACAAAACTATACTATCTAAAAAATTTAAATGGGGCCGGATATAACAAGCAACAAATCCGATAATCCCCATATGCATTAGCAATTTGGTGCAACAACAATTTTAAATGTTATTATCATGATGCGAATGGCATATGCAAGTTTATGCACTTTTTATTAAAAGTTGACAAGAGCGTTATGAAGCATTTGTTCTCGTGGCGGAAACGAAAAGGGGTGCCACGACAACGATAATGAAACGGTGCCACAGCAATGTTCTGGTTCCAACAACTCATTGAGACGTCGGTGCAAAAGAAAGTGACGGGAGCGTGTCAAAAGATGGTGGGGTGATCCCGGTTACCGGGTTCCCACGGGTCGACGACGGTGACAAGGCAAAAGAGGGGCAACGTGCACCGACAATTCGAGCACGGAGCAAGCACGAGCATCTCATACATCACACATGCATTCGGTCCACGGAGGGTCGTCTCGACGTTATACCTTTGAAGCGTGCGTTTTCGGGACGGAACGAGTTCATAGTGGAAGTAGTCGTTCACAGGTCTTCAAGGGAAGTAGTGGCCCACGTTCATTTTCGGAGAGGTACTTGACGAATCCAAGGTTTCCGAGGGTGACGGTAGTAGAACTTGGCGAATCCGAGTTTTTCGGAGGTCGTCATCAAACTTGGTCAAATACACGATGTGGGTAGACGTTCACTCGACGGCCTTCGGCGACGGTAGTTGTACACGGGTCTTCGGCCACGAAAGTAGACGTACAACGTTTACGTAGATGTTCGAGTCATCAGTAGCGGTACTTGGTGAATCCCGGAACGGTCTTGGCGTCTTCGCACGTAGGGGTACTTGGCGTTTCCGTAGACGACGGTAGAGGTACTTGACGCGTTGTTGTGGTACTTGGAAAAAAAATCACAGAGAAGATGCTTGGCGGTCCAGGTACGGTTCTTGGCGTCTCGTAGCTGATCTAGACGGTCCAAACAAAGCAACACAAGGGGCCTCGTGTGACAGCGACGACGAACAAAAGCCCACGAAGAAGCAGGGGGTGCGGAGGCGTTTGAAGACGGACTTGGCATTCCTGGTTCGGTGGTGGTGCTCGCGAGTGCAAGGCGGCCGACGAGGAACAACAACAAAGCAGCGGCAACGACAACCATGGCGGCATGAGCAGCCGGAGACGGTAGTGATGAGCAGGAGCTCGAGGGCGAGAGGAAGACAGAGACGGCTCCGGGCAGCGGCCTGCACGTGGTCACCGACGTGGGCGCCATGGCCGGAGACGGTACTTGACGGCGGTAGCACGACATAGCACTAGGCAGCAACCATGGCGACATGGGGCCTCAGGTGCCATCGGGGAGGAAGGCGAACTCGAGGCGCTCAAGGGGCGCGCGGCAAGGCGACGATGAGGAGGCACACGGGACGGAGGGGAGGCAGTGCCTCGCCGGAGCCAGCAGGGCATGGCGGCAGGGCATCGGGCGTGGAGCTGGTCGCGGGGAAAAGAGAGGCCGACGCAGGGGCTCCTCCGTGCGGGGTCGAGCGAGAGGAGGGAGGAGCTCGGGGAGAATAGTGGCGGCTCCTGGCTCAGGCGGAGGAGGAGAAGGGGCGCGCCGGGGAGGCTTGGTCGTCGCCGGTGGCGTTGGGGAAACGGGCGCGGGGGCTCCTCGCCTGGCTCGAGGTGGAAGAGAAGAGGAGTGGGGATCGAGGGGAAGGGAGATGCGCGAGGGGATCGAGCGGGGCTCGTGCTATCGTAGGTGGTGGCGGCGCACTGGAGGGAACGAGCGAGAGGATGTCGGGCTAGGGTTAACAGGGGCGCCGGCTGCGCTTAGCAGATGGGCCGGCGGAGACTGGAAAGGCCATAGGCCCGGTCGGCTGGGCAGCAGGCTGCAGGCTCTCTCTCACTCTCTGCACTCAACCATTAAGAGAAAAGATAAAAAATAGATAGAAGAAGAAAATATAAAGAGAGGGTTAGTGAACGAATTTGAGCAAGAGGTTAAATTCCTTGGACTCACACAAAAATGTGTTGATCCAAAAATTAGGAAAGACCAAGATTGAAAGAATAAATTCAAATTTCTTTGAATTTAATTCAAAAGGTTTGAACCAGGACATATTTTTCGAAGTGCCCAAAAATGTTGAGAATTTAGGTGGAGCTCCGGAAAAAGACGAAAGGATATATGGCAAAGTTAGAGGCCAAGAGTTGTGATAACAAAGGCATTGGGTTTTTTGCAAGTGTGTTAAGGTGGATTCCAAAATAGTGGAATATTTAATATAACTCCCTAATATTGGGGTATATGTTGTAAAGAGAATCACCACGTGAATTCCCTCGGTTTAAATGGATCGAAGATCCATGCAACTTATTTAGTTGAGTTTTAGAACGGGTTGCATGATGACATGATGCAATGATGAATGCAACGAACCAAACAAATCACACGACGAAACCCGGAAACCACAGAAGGCATCTGAAGCTCCGGTCTTGGGGCGTCACACGCCCCCTCCCCCTCTGGTCCGAATTGGACTAGGGAAGGGGGGCGCCCCCCTTTCCTTCTCCCTCTCCTCCTTCCTTTCCCCCTCCTAGTAGGAGTAAGAAAGGGGAGTCCTACTCCTACTGGAGGAGGACTCCTCCTCCTGGCGCGCCCTACAAGGGCCGGCCTCCCCCTTGCTCCTTTATATACGGGGGCAGGGGGCACCCTAGGACACACAATTTGATTGTTCCAAGCAGTGTGCGGTGCCCCCCTCCACCATAATCCACCTCGATCATATCATAGCGGTGCTTAGGTGAAGCCCTGCGTCGGTAGCAACATCATCACCGTCATCACGCCGTGGTGCTGACGAAACTCTTCTTTGAAGCTCTGCTGGATCAGAGTTCGTGGGATGTCATCGAGCTGAACATGTGCTGAACTCGGAGGTGCCGTACATTTGGTACTTGGATCGGTCGGATCGTGAAGACGTACGACTACATCAACCGCGTTCTCATAACGCTTCCGCTTACGGTCTACGAGGGTACGTGGACGATACTCTCCTCTCTCGTTGCTATGCATCATCATGATCTTGCGTGTGCGTAGGAAAATTTTGAAATCACTATGTTCCCCAACACCCACGAGCTCAGGGGGCGCGCCTGGTGAGCTTGTGGCTTTCCCATAGGTCTTCTGGCCTCCTACCGAACCTTGTAAGGTCCCTTCTAGTCCAGAAAAAATCACTGTAAAATTTCATCGTGTTTGGACTTTGTTTGGTATTGATTTTTTGAAAAGCCAGAAACAAGCAAAAAACAACAATTGGCACTGGACACTGAATTAATAAGTCAGTCCCAAGAAATGATATAAAATTGCATATTAAAGCTTATAAAGCATTCAAGATTGATAATATAATAGCATGAAACATTGCAACATCCGTCATGGCCACCGATGCTGCATCTTAGCTTCCGCCGGCGTCACCATCCGTTGCATCGCAACTTCTGCCATGGCCGCCTAGCCGCGTCGTAGCACCCGTCGCTGTCGTTGGAGCTTTGTAGGAAGGTCGTCGATGGTGCGATGAAGCTCCGTCGAGGCCGACCAAGTGCTGCAATGGAGCTCTGGCGGTGCTGCAATGAAGCGCGTCGGATCCGCAGTGAAGCACCGTGGGGGTCGTTGAAGCTTCGTCGAGGCTGCAAGGGAGCGCCGCCGGGCGCTGTCGGTGCTTCGCGCGACACGTCGTGCTGCCATGGAAGCTGCTGTGCTGAACCTTTTTTTGTGTGCAAACGCCATGGGGTGCAGGATGGAAGAACAAAGAGAGAAAACGACAGCTCCGTTTGCTGCCATCGAAGGGCCATCATACGTGCATCGTACGGCTAGCTAGGCGGATGATTTCGCCAAATCCCAAAGGCTTGGGTGGCCTAGAGTACACAATTATGATCATCCTTTGAAGTTGTTATCGCAGAGAACATGATGATAACGGGTTTTTACCATCACAGTGATTCAAACGATTTAAACACGCTGTTTTGAATGTTGTATTTTAAATGCCGACTGACCAAAATGAAAGGGTTTTTATCATTTATGCCACTAGTTGTATCCCACTACTCACTTTTGCCATTAGAAGTTACAGCTACTCAAAAATGTCATCGATTTGTGAGATGCTTGCTCAAAAATACCATTAGATATCTCAAAAATGCCATCATTCCGTTAAATGTTTGCTCAAAAATGCCATTAGACATTGTCTTTTTTGCGGGTAGACATTGTTATTTTCACGTCAAACCCGTTGACCATGTTATATGACAAAAATAAGTCTAGACTCATATGTCAGTTCTGTTTATCTCACAATGATAAGTGTCGCCCCACTTGTCAGGAGTAATCAAGCGAATAATTTTATAGAAAAAAACGCTGTTGGGAACAAGTGGGCCGCACATTTTATTGTAGTGAGATAGAGGAAGAGCTCGCATGTTGGTTCATAGGTATTTATGTCATTATAACATGGCAAAAGAGATTTGAGATCACAATAATGGTGTTCAGTAGCATTTTTGAGCATGTTTCTAATGAAGTGATGCCATTTTTGAGCAGTTGAAATTTCTGATGGCAAAATTGAGTAATGGGACACAAAATGATAAAAACCCAAAATGAAAAGAAAAACTTAACGATGAGCTGCTGGGCTGAAATTGTTCCAACTAAGCTTCCTGGGCCTGGGCGTTCGCTTGACGTCCGTCCCTCGGCCGCAGTGGCAACGGCGCCGCCCTTCTCCCGCAACTCGACGCCGACCCATCCCCATCCCCCGCCGCCGGCTCTTTCCCATCCCCATCCCCAACTAGTGAGCGTGAACCCGATGTGAGGCGCGCGAAATCCCTCCGCCATGGAGCATAGTGACGGCGAGACCGCCGCCAAGCGAGCCAAGCTCTCCGCCAGCGGCAGCGAGGACCTCCTCAGCGCGCTATCCGACGACGTTCTCATTCACATCCTTCTCAAGCTCCGCAACACCGCCGTCGCCGCTCGGACCAGCGTCCTCTCCAGCCGCTGGCGCCGCCTCTGGGCCCTCCTCCCGGGCCTGGACTTTCTCCCCGACATCAACCCATACAGCGTACCCGCCGTCCTCGCCGCCCATCAAGCGCCGGCCCTCCGCTCTCTCCGCATCCTCGCCACGGACGCCTCTGCCGACTTCATGGCCGCGTGGCTCCCCATCGCCGCCCGCCGCCTCTCCGGCGATCTATTCTTCATCAACACCGTGTCGCCGGACGACGAGGCCGGGGACAGAGGCGCCTTTGAACTGCCATGCTTCGAGAACGCCACCTCGATCACGCTCCACTTAGGGTTTCTTGGCATTGCAGTGCCAGCCTCCGCCATATCCTCTCGGCTCACCGATCTTCGCCTGAATAGCTTCCAGGTACAGGGTCCGTGCTTGCTCGGTGACGTTGTATCCTCGGCGTGGTCCCCATGCTTGCAAAGGCTCACCATCAACGATGCCCGAGGCATCGACAAATTCACCATCCGCTCAGAGTCTCTCCTGCAATTGAAGCTCAAGGATCTAGATGGCCTGCAGCAGCTCACTGTCGTGGCGCCGAAGCTCAAAGAGCTAAGTGTGATCCTTTTGCTTTGCTCCGAATCAACCTATTGCTAGCATCTCAGCTCCTGAGCTGGTGTCGCTCCACTGGAATGATGCCTATGATCCATGCTCTGTCCAACTTGGCGAGATGGCACATCTACAATGTCTGCACGTTGGCATTTTTCTCGTATATGGACCACTTGATTTTACACCCAATCGCGATTGCCTGAGGATCTTGGGGGACTTCAAGGTCATGCACAGTCTAACCCTCCTACTGCTCTATAATCCGGTGAGTTCAATCTTATATGTGAAGTTATGTCGTCATCGCAAGTTTGTGTCAAGCAGATAAGCCAATAGATAATGAGACAAACATGTAGTCTAACTGAAGGAATGTGTCATTGGGACAACGTGATCAATTGATAATGAGACAAACATGTAGTTTAACTGAAGGAATGTGTCAATGGGACAATATCACATTCTAAAATAGCCATACAAATTTCTCGCTTGTTCTATGCTTCTATTTGCTCAAATCTCTGTAATAGACATGTGTTGAGCCTGAGCGCGGCTGATGTTCATCTCTTATATTGTATTGTTTTTTTCTGGCTAGAATATTCGTTATCCAAGAGGATAATGAACTTTTCAACTGTGACACATTACTCTCCTTTGTGATTTACATACAAACCTTGATGGATGACATGCCAAGGCTCCCGGACATTACATATAATCCTTTTTTGTGACGTCATCTGAACCTGCAGGATATAGGTAACTATCGATACTTGATGCATGACATGACAAGGCTCCCTGACGTCACATGCTTGTCCCTGACTGTGATGTCAAACGGACATTGCTTTGGTGCCAGCTCATTCCACATTCTCGGACTGTGTACTGGTGTAAGAAAGTTGGCACTTAACTACTTTGAGGTAAAACTATCCTTAATTTCTTTATAACTTTTTAAAACATGTATAATACTCGAGTTATTAGGTTAGTCACATAAAACAATATGCATTTGCACTTTCGGGCATACCTAGACTCGATTGCCAGTTGGCCTACTCTAGGTGTTGGTTTGATACTAATACCTTGTCTCCAGACTTTAACTGTGGATTTTTTTTTGAGGAATCATGTTGGAAATATTAGCACTTTTCCGATTAGACTTATCCACGAGTTAACAGTAAGCATGGCATAAAAGGTATGCATCTCATAGCGATACCTAAGCATACTAGCACGTATAGAACATAGAATCGAACCTTCTATGAGCAGCACATATACGGCTAGCATAAGTACGAGTAAACAAGGGATGAACAGATCATACCCTCCGGTTGGCCAGGCCAACGCGGCGGCGGCAGCAGCAGCCTCGGCGTCGTCCGTGGCCTTCTTCTTAGCGGTGGCGTCGTCGGCCATGGTGTCGATGCAGAGGAAGTAGTGGAAGCAAAGGCGAACGGAGCTGGGGACGGATCGGGAGCAGTCGCGTCGAGACGCTCCCCAAAAACCTTATTGTCGTTCTCCCGGGCAGGATCTCGAACGACAGGATTACGGAGGCACCTGCTCTCCCGACCAGCCGTGCACGCGGTCGTCGGGATGGGATCGCCGAAGGCAGCACAGAGTGAGGAACAGTAGATGACGGCTAGGTCACGCGAGAGGTGTGAGTGAATCGAGCTGGGTTACTTCACTGGCCAGAGCCTTCTTATATAGTCCGTAAGGAAGAAAGTCGTGGGCCTTGCCGAGGCCCACGACCGAGTCGGCCCACTCCTGACAAGGGAGTCGTTGTTCCCGGCAAGGGAGTCGACGAATACGCGGGTCCCGGCAAGGGCCGCACCCCCGGCAAGGGAGCCCACAGTCCAACGTCTTGGACAGTGGCCCACATGTTAGCGACTCGTTAATTAATCCCTGATTAATTAATTCATTCCTGAGCGGCAAAAATAAGCTTCGGCTCAGCTCATTCCCGCAACCCGCGGCGCGTGCGTGCGCGTTGTGACGAGGCGAGGCATGGTGAGGCGGGCGGCGGCGGAGGAGGAGCGCGCTTTTACCACTCCTCTTCCCAAGCTCCCAATGGCAAGTGGTAGAGCAGCCCTTATAGGGGTCTCAACTCTCCTCAACTAGCAAGGTGGGACTAAACTTCCCACCACCTGCCATCTCATACATGGGCCTCAAGATTAACCAGGGATTAGTGTCTTATATGGGCCTAAGCCCATCCATAATCCAACAATCCCCCACCAGATCTCGAGGCACATAAGTTTGTCAACTGTTCCAAACAATGTTTGATATACCAGAATTTTCAGTGAAGACTGTTAAGTTGAACTTCCACCTAGAGCAACAGGATTAGACTTCTTCACAACTAAACAATGGACTATGCCTTAAATTGTTAGTTTGGCGTGCAGAAGTTTCGCCTATTGTCAGCTGATACATGGCTGCCGAAGGCTAAACCCCACGGGTGGAGCTTATTAGTCGTACTCCGTACCTTCTCATGAGCTTAATAGAGATTACCCAATCTCATAGACTGTGACCAGCAGTCGGGCTCACATAGGTGTGTTCCTTCAAAGAATGCTATGTAGGTTAGCATCTTGCTTACACAAGCTTTGGAACACATTAAGACAAAAGTCAGTCTGCCTTACAGAATTGAGAGTATTGTGCATCTCCAACGGAGTGGATTAATTAAGGATACTCTCCTCAGTTGACCGCTGGATTGTTTTCCCAGGTCCTAATTCACGGGATCTCCGATCACATAGGTTGGGTTACCCCCATGGCAACTTACGTGGGTCTCATACCCTCTCCCTCGATGCATTTTCTATCACAATCCGTGATAGCCCTTTCGTAGAAGGGTCTGCCAGATTCTTAGCCGTCTGTATATAATCCAATGCTATTACTCTGGAGTTTCTTAATTTTCTGACAGATTTCAATTTCCTTCTTATGTGCTTTGTGGATTTCATGTTGTTCTTTGAACTCTTAGCCTTGGCAATCACTGTTTGATTGTCACAGTTCATAAGGACAGCCGGCACTGGTTTATCAACCACCGGCAAATCCATCAAAAGCTCTCGAAGCCATTCTACTTCGACGCATGATGTGTCTAATGCTGTAAGTTCTGCTTCCATAGTCGATCTGGTTAAGATCGTCTGCTTGCAAGACTTCCAGGAAACAACACCACCACTAAGTGTGAAGACATGTCCACTTGTGGCTTTCATCTCATCAGCATCACATATCCAATTCGAATCACTATACCCCTCAAGTACCGTCGGGTACCCAGAATAGTGAATTCCATAGTTCGCAGTACCTTGCAAATAACGCATCACTCGCTCAACAACATGCCAATGCACATCTCCCGGATTGAAAACAAACCGGCTCAGTTTGCACACAACAAATGAAATGTCAGGACGAGTAGCACATGCTAGGCACATCAGTGAACCAACCACTTGAGAATATCTCAATTGATCTATAGCCGTGCCTTCGAACTTTCGAATCCGCACGCTAGGATCATATGGTGTTGCAGAAGGTTTGCAGTCCGAATATCCAAAACGACTCAAAATCTTATCAACATAGTGGGATTGCAAAAGTGTAATTCCACCCTCAGAATTTCTCCGTAGCTTGATGTTCAGGATAACATCAGCCACACCCAGGTCCTTCATCTCAAAGTTGTGAGATAGAAAAGACTTGACCTCCTCAATGACCTTGAGGTGGGTCCCAACAGTATGTCATCGACATACAGACACAGTATAACTCCTTCACCCCCACCATAGCGATAGTATACACATTTGTCAGCTTTGTTCACAACAAAGCCAACAGATGTCAGAGTAGTGTTGAACTTCTCATGCCATTGCTTAGGCGCTTGTTTCAGGCCATACAGAGATTTCACTAGCTTACACATCTTCCTTTCCTGACCATTTACTACAAAGCCAACCGGCTGTTGCATGTAAATTTCCTCGTCTAGCTCTCCGTTAAGGAAAGCCGTCTTAACGTCCATCTGATAAACGAGAAGACCATTCGAGGCAGCCGAAGCGAGTAACACTCGAATGGTTGTCAGTCTAGCCACAGGTGAATAAGTGTCAAAGAAATCCTCTTCTTCTTTCTGGGTATAACCCTTGGCCACAAGCCTAGCCTTGTACTTCTCAACAGTACCATCGGGCCTAAGCTTCCTTTTGAACACCCACTTACATCCTAATGGTCGACAACCATAAGGACGATCAGTGATCTCCCATGTTCCGTTAGCCAAGATGGAATCCATCTCACTACGGACCGCATCCTTCCAGTAGTCAGCATCCGGAGATGCATAAGCTTCTGAAATGGAGCTGGGAGTATCATCATCCACGAGGTACACGAGGAAATCATCACCAAAGGACTTTGCAGTCCTCTGTCTCTTGCTCCTAACAGGAGCTTCCTCGTCATCCTCCGTGGAACTCTTATCACTTTTATGTTCATAATATTCCATCGGAATAGCAGGTTCAGGAGTCTCATCAGATTCCAGTCTAGAATTGCTTTGCATATCTCTCATGGGGAAAATATCCTCAAAGAATGTAGCATCCCTAGACTCTATAATTGTACCGACCTTCTGGTCAGGTACCTCAGATTTCACCACTAGAAATCTATAGCCAACGCTATGCTTGGCATAGCCAAGAAAAACACAGTCCACGGTCTTTGGTCCCAACTTGCGCTTTTTGATTATTGGCACATTGACTTTAGCCAAACAGCCCCAAGTGCGCAAGTAAGAGAGTGTAGTTCTTTTCTTTTCCCATTGCTCATAGGAAGTAGTCTCATTATCCTTTGTGGGAACTTTATTCAGGACATGACAAGATGTCAATAAAGCCTCCCCCCACCATGCCTTGGATAAACCCGATGTATCTAACATGGCGTTAACCAAATCAGTTAGAGTACGGTTTTTCCGTTCGGCAACCCCGTTTGACTTGGGTGAGTAGGGAGGCGTCCTCTCATGAATAATACCATGTTTCGCACAGAATAAATCAAACTCATTAGAAAAGTACTCTCCACCACGATCAGACCGGACTTGTTTTATTTTCTTCTCAAGTTGGTTCTCAACTTCAGCCTTATAGACTTTAAAGTAGTGTAGAGCCTCATCCTTAGTATTTAAC